AACTCATTACCTGTATAAAAGACACCTGTCCACACACTCAATCAAACAGACTCCAACCTCTCCACAATGGCCAAGACCAGAGAGCTGTGTAAGGACATCAGGGATAAAATTGTAGACCTGCACAAGGCTGGGATGGGCTACAGGACAATAGACAAGCAGCTTGGTGAGAAGGCAACAACTGTTGGCGCAATTATTAGAAAATGGAAGAAGTTCAAGATGACGGTCAATCACCCTCGGTCTGGGGCTCCATGCAAGAGCTCACCTCGTGGGGCATTAATGATCATGAGGAAGGTGAGGGATCAGCCCAGAACTACACGGCAGGACCTGGTCAATGACCTGAAGAGAGCTGGGACCACAGTCTCAAAGAAAACCATTAGTAACACACTACGCCGTCATGGATTAAAATCCTGCAGCGCACGCAAGGTCCCCCTGCTCAAGCCAGCGCATGTCCAGGCCCGTCTGAAGTTTGCCAATGACCATCTGGATGATCCAGAGGAGGAATGGGAGAAGGTCATGTGGTCTGATGAGACAAAAATAGAGCTTTTTGGTCTAAACTCCACTCGCCGTGTTTGGAGGAAGAAGAAGGATGAGTACAACCCCAAGAACACCATCCCAACCATGAAGCATGGAGGTGGAAAGATCATTCTTTGTGGATGCTTTTCTGCAAAGGGGACAGGACGACTGCACCGTATTGAGGGGAGGATGGATGGGGCCATGTATCGCGAGATCTTGGCCAACAACCTCCTTCCCTCAGTAAGAGCATTGAAGATGGGTCGTGGCTGGGTCTTCCAGCATGACAACGACCCAAAACACACAGCCAGGGCAACTAAGGAGTGGCTCCGTAAGAAGCATCTCAAGGTCCTGGAGTGGCCTAGCCAGTCTCCAGACCTGAACCCAATAGAAAATCTTTGGAGGGAGCTGAAAGTCCATATTGCCCAGCGACAGCCCCGAAACCTGAAGGATCTGGAGAAGGTCTGTATGGAGGAGTGGGACAAAATCCCTGCTGCAGTGTGTGCAAACCTGGTCAAGACCTACAGGGAACGTATGATCTCTGTAATTGCAAACAAAGGTTTCTGTACCAAATATTAAGTTCTGCTTTTCTGATGTATCAAATACTTATGTCATGCAATAAAATGCAAATTAATTACTTAAAAATCATACAATGTGATTTTCTGGATTTTGTTTTAGATTCCGTCTCTCACAGTTGAAGTGTACCTAAGATAAAAATTACAGACCTCTACATGCTTTGTAAGTAGGAAAACCTGCAAAATCGGCAGTGTATCAAATACTTGTTCTCCCCACTGTACATATATACAGTACCAGTCAAAAGTTTGGACACACCTACTCATTCCAGGGTTTATCTTTATTTTTACTATTTTCTACATTGTAGAAAAGTATGAAACAACACATATGGAATCATGTAGTAACCAAAAAAGTGTTAAACAAATCAAAATATATTTATATTTGAGATTCTTCAAAGTAGACACCCTTTCTCTTGATGACTGCTTTGCACACTCTTGGCATTCTCTCAACCAGCTTCACCTGGAATGCTTTTCCAACAGTCTTGAAGGACTTCCTATATATGCTGAGCACTTGTTGGCTGCTTTTCCTTCACTCTGCAGTCCAACTCATCCCAAACCATCTCAATTGGGTTGAGGTCGGGTGATTGTGGAGGCCAGGTCATCTGATGCAGCACTCCATCACTCTCCTTCTTGGTCAAATAGCCCTTACACAGCCTGGAGGTGTGTTTTGGGTCATTGTTGAAAAACAAATGATAGTCCCACTAAGCGCAAACCAGATAGGATGGTGTATTGCTGCAGAATGCTGTGGTAGCCATGCTGGTTAAGTGTGCCTTGAATTCTAAATAAATCACTGACAGTTTCACCAGCAAAGCACCCCCACACCATCATACCTCCTTCTCCATGCTTCACGGTGGGAACCACACATGTGGAGATCATCCGTTCACCTACTCTGTGTCTCACAAAGACACGGCAGTTGGAACCAAAAATCTCAAATTTGGACTCATCAGACCAAAGGACAGATTTCCACCAGTCTAATGTACATTGCTCATGTTTCTTGGCCCAAGCAAGTCTCTTCTTATTATTGGTGTCCTTTAGTAGTGGTTTCTTTGCAGCAATTCGACCATGAAGGCCTGATTCACGCAGTCTCCTCTGAACAGTTGATGTTGAGATGTGTCTGTTACTTGAACTCTGTGAAGCATTTATTTGGGCTGCAATCTGAGGTGCAGTTAACTCTAATGAACTTATTCTCTGCAGCAGAGGTAACTCTGGGTCTTCCTTTCCTGTGGCAGTCCTACCTTGTCACAACACAAATGATTGCCTCAAATGCATTAAGAAGGAAAGAAATTCCACAAATTAACTTTTAACAAGGCACACCTGTTAATTAAAATGCATGAAGCATGTTGAGAGAATGCCAAGAGTGTGCAAAGCTGTCATCAGGGCAAAGGGTGGCTACTTTAATATAAAATATGTTTGGATTTGTTTAACACTTGTTTTGGTTACTACATGATTCCATATGTGTTATTTCATAGTTTTGATGTCTTCACTATTATTCTACAATGTAGAAAATAGTAAAAATAAAGAAAAACCCTGGAATGAGTAGGTGTGTACACACTTTTTACTGGTACTGTATATATATATATATATATATATATATATACATATACTCCGGACTACGACATTGCTCGTCCTAATATTTATATATTTCTTAATTCCATTATTTTACTTTTAGATGTGTGTGTATTGTTAGATATTACTGCACTGTTGGTGCGAGGAACACAATAATTTCGCTACACCCGCAATAACATCTGCTAAACCTGTGTATGCGACCAAATAACATTTGATTTGAATAGCCACAGGGCTCTAAGTTGTACCATTGCGAACCGTATGTTGGGATTTTTGACCTGGTTACATGTATATTGAATAACACAGCAGCTTTTCGTCATTTTTTGTTATTTCTGTATATCTAAAAATCGATGACGAGGTTGGCTCTTTTACAATGGGGGTCAATGGGATTATTATATTATTATAATTTATTTTTTGGTGCATGGTCGACGGGAATTCCTTCTTATGACGTGAATGTCGACTCGGAGTACCCATTGTGTGGGAGCCAAATAGGTTATATTGTACATTTGGATGTTTCCAATTCATGAAGAATTTCTATTGTATGTGTGTTTGCCACTAACCCCTGTCAAGTGTGTGTACCCCCTCTACAGGCCGATCGGGAATACAGTTAAAAGGCATACATGCTCCAAGGCCTACTGGGAGTGACTGGAATGGCAGGACACAGTATTTTGACCATACCAGCCAATGTTTACCATGCTGTTTGTTTCTTTAGTTTGAATTATCAGAATTAATTTTTTTTATTTTTTTATTTTTATGTTGTCTCCAGAAGAACTACAAATAAATTGATTCTTATTTTTCAACTTGAATCGAACTCTGGACATTGGATTTGTATGCGTCAAGACTAACCTTTCACCACTTTCCATTGTGGCTAAAAGATTAGAATGGAAATTGTATTGGGACAATAATATTGGAACATTTAGCTACTACAAATTGCATTCCAGCGTCTGCTGTATGCCACTTACATTTTGGAGGCTCATGGTTCGGTAAATACCATATTAGCTGGGTAGATTATCTAAAAATCGACTACACCGAAGACAGCTGATTCATTTTATTCTGAGTTAGCCTCTGCGACTTTACTTTCCATGGTCAACCTCTTTCTGTGTAGGTTTTCTTTTAGGGGAAAACAACTTCACCGCGCATTATGCTTGAGGGAATACCCTGGCAGTTGATGGTGCTATGGGGTGCCTTCCTGTAGCCCAAACAGCCGCTAATGGGCGTCGTTTCATAAACGACAGGTATGAAACAGCGACCATAAGCGACTACTCGGTCTAGGCTTTTATGGTATATTTTTTGTTTTTTTCTGTGCCCACCCCACTACAGACCCATTACATATCTCTGACTCCTACGCCCTCTCTCAGGAGGACTGTCTCTCCATTAGATCTGAAATGGAGTGTATTGATGCTGTCATGGATTAAACGAAGGAGGCGGGTGCGGTGTGTTTACATCCGTGTTTGCATGTGTGTATTTGTGCATGGAGGATGGTTTTGCTGTGCAGGTATTTCTCTCTCCCAGCAGTGTGAATATAGACTATGTATTCTTAGCTTTGTAGAAGTGAAGAGGGATAAGGTCAAACAGACTTTCTTCTAGTCTTAACTGTGTTCACACAAAGCTGTAGATTCTCAGCCTTTAGATCTCTGCAAGGTCAGCTCCTCCTCAGCCACTTCTCTAGTGCTTTTCTCATGGTAAGACTTATACAGGTGTGTGTGCATGGTTGTCATTGAGAGAGGTTATTAAGAGCTCAGATCAGGAGTCATTTCTTAAACACACACACACACACACTCTAGCCACAGTTAACGTGTGGTTGTCCTCATTCGTTCAAGATGATCCTATCAATATCTGATCGAGATTTGTTGTGTCTACACATTGTAATAAAATCTGTCTCTTATCTGCCCACTGCGTCCATATTGTGACCAGATTCCCTGGTCCCTCTGTGTATGCAAATTAATCCAACCTGCCTTGGACCTCCCTTATAACACAAGCTGTATAAATCGATAGAAAACAGCACACTTTTATAGTCATTAGCTTTACACTTCCACCATTACGTTTGTTATCCAACGATTTATATGTATGGTATACATTTAATACATACATACAATTTCTCCTATCCAATATGTAGCAATTTTGGCAACTTTTTACTATCAACATTTTTAAATGACACCCTCAATAAAAAAATATCTCATCAAAAAACTTAAAACACAATTGGGAGTTCAGCTCCTTTAATTACGAAAGTACCCTATACTACTTAACCAAGAGGGTGTGGACATTTTTCAAAGGCAGCAACACACCTATATTTGTGACATTGAAACACAGTCCTGTAAGCTTAGACTTCTCAAACTAGTATTCTGTCATGACGTATCAAGTCTCTGTTTCATGAGCCTCATCTTGTCCTGTTGTATCATCACGTGGGACCATCTGGTGTTGGTGTGTTTCAGGCTTGTGTCTGTAGTACAAAATGAGTGACATTGCTAATCCTGCCAAGAGAACTATCCCTAATAATCCCAAAGCCAGTCTGCCCCTGGTGGCAAGAGACACCTCACAGCATTCTGTAGAAGAGAAGAGAGAAAGAGACAGGCTTTCAGCTTCACCTCCCAAATACCTCTTCCTCTAGTAGTACTGCCTGGTCACTGAACATTTCATTGAGGTCATTGCGAACAGTTCCTCTCATGGGAAGTTGCACTCTACAATGGTATTTTTAGTGATCCAATTTACATTTTAGTCATTTAGCAGACGCTTTTATCCAGAGCGACTTACAATTATTGAGTGCATACATATTTCATACTGGCCCCCTGTGGAAATGGTGTTATTCTTGCATGCAGTACATCTATACACAATGCTCATATGACTCATTTGCCCTCATGAAGTGAAATGTCAAATCCTTATTTAAGATGGGTGTGTTTGACTACAAATTGTGTCTAGAATTCATACATTGCAGACTTTGTGTAAGAGTAACACACTATCTCGTCAGGGTTTAGCCCTTAGTGATTATGCAATGGTTTAATATTTCATCACTAAATCAGTGATCCATACTTGGTCACATTGCTCTACCTCTAAACCAGTTGGTAGGTCACAACATTACCTGGGAGTGGGTGGAGGGTGAGTGAGCGGGTGAAGCTTTGATTGAGAACATCCAGTCTCATTTCAGCAATGATGGTGAGTGTACTGTTTGGCCTGACCTCCATGGAGCTGTGGACCTCATAGCGCCCCCTGCTGTCCAGGCCAATACGGCTGTGGCTCTGATTGGAGAGATCTCCTCCAATGGAGTCTGTCCACCACACATTAGGCTGGGGGAAACCCTGGGAGGAGTTGAGGGTGATGAAGAAGCTGTCACAGGATGACTGTACAGAGAGCTGGGGCTCCTTGAAGGGGGCTAGGGTAAACAAAAACAACAACAATACTCACATTAAACTCTTAACATAGGAGAATTCTGACTGCAAAAGGCTTTAGGCAAGTAGATGACTATGAGCTGATTTTGTGCAGGTAGCTTAATACTTATTTGTCTTTTAATCCCCCATAGATGCAAGATTTCTGATAAATCTGAAAGGACAAAAATACATACTCTAACCTGCCACTAGAAGTAGTAGCTTTTCCTTGGTGCTTCCCTGTTCATCTGTCACATAACAGGTGTATTGGCCCTGGTCACTCAGCTGTACCCCACTCAGTCTAAGTGAGGCATTTCCCACAGCGATCTGGTCTTCAAACAGATGAGTGCGTCCCTTGTAAACAACACTCTGTCTTTCCAGCTGATCTCTCCCATAGTAATAGCTGTGGACCACCTCTGATTCTCCATGCTGCCAGTTGACGATCAGGTATTTGAGGTTCAGGTTTTTAGACGGAGGGAAATAGCAGCTAAGGGTGATGTCACTGCCCGGAGCTGCCACTCCCATAGGTGAAATAAGGAACTGAACCTCAATAATCGCTAAGGAAGGAGACAGACAATACAGCCATAGATTAGGGAGAAACTTCAATTCTCTTTTATTATATCACCAAAGATACTGTGATAACTTTGAGCTTGTTGGTGACTGTTGTTGTAAAACCAACATTCTAAATAATGATTTATTAAATGTTAGTATACAAATTCATTTTGCAACTTAATTTGGTTCCTCATTTTTAGTATGAGAATGTGATGAATATTCTGTTTCTGTTGTAGCTGCAAAGCCACAGTGACAATCTACACTACAACCGTGACTGTGGAAATGCTTAGCCACATAGGGTTGTCTTATAGCAAAGTCATCATTGAAGTACAGAAAATGTTTACTCAGCGATCCAAACTGTGGGTTTTGTGACGTAGATTTACAGTATATTAGAATTACCGCATGAAGAGCCCCTGTTAGTATGCTCCAACTGGATTAAAATGGAATATTTAGAGGTTAAACATATAGTATGAATATTTAGAATATTTAGAGGTTAAAAACATATTATATGACGGATACATACTATGGGCATCATCTAGTTATGATGGTATTGACGAGTTTACGTTCAACTCTGTAAGCTAAACTGCAGCATGGCCATACCTGGGATGTATTCACTAGGAACCAAACTGCAGCAAACAGAAGCAAACAGAACAGGGAGGGACCTACGTGCAATGGTGCAAAATGTCTTGCTACTGTGTGCTCTAATGAATACATCCTTGATACACCCTGCATGTTTACACATGATAAGATGATGGAATATAATAACTAGCTACCTGAGGAAAAGCAGTGACACCGAAATAAACTTTGAGATGCCTTGTCTTTTCATCCCACACACTTTTGAGTAGACCTGTAAAAAGAAAGCTAACATGTGAAAAACAATGTGGATCACATCCATATATTGAAAATACTACATGCCTTAAGTTACAACATACATGGCTATTCTTGTCTCAGTCAGACGTACCAAGATTCAGGATAACTGATGAAGTACGCCTATTTCAACTTTTTCTGTTATGTGGGTGAAAAGTGTAAAGAGGTTGGCTAACTAACTACACAACAAATCCCCAGAAATGACTACTAATGGATAATTAAGAAGGGTAAAAATGGATAAATTGTATACATTGTATTTCTATTATTGATGTGTTTCACAAGATGACAGTAGTTCTAGTAGTAGTTTTTATTTTACTGAACAAAAATATAAAACGCAACATGTAAAGTGTTGATCCCATGTTTCATGAGCTGAAATAAAAGATCCCTGACATTTTCCATACACACATAAAGCTTATTTCGCTCTAATTTTGTGCACACATTAACATTGATCATCCTTGAGATGTTTCTACAACTTGCTTGGAGTCCACCTGTGGTCAATTTAATTAATTGGACATGATTTGGAAAGGCACACACCGGTCTATGTAAGGTCCCACATTTAACAGTGCATGTCAGAGCAAAAACCAAGCCATGAGGTCGAAGGAATCTGTGGAAGGGTACCAAAAAATGTCTGCAGCATTGAAGGTCCCAAGAACACAGTGGCCTCCATCATTCTTAAATGGAAGAAGTTTGGAACCACCAAGACTCTTCCTAGAGCTGGCTGCCTGGCCAAACTGTGCAATCGGGGGAGAAGGGCCTTGGTCAGGGAGGTGACCAAGAACCCGATGGTCACTCTGACAGAGCTCCAGAGTTCCTCTGTGGAGATGGGAGAACCTTCCAGAAAGACAACCATCTCTGCAGTTCTCCACCAATCAGGCCTTTACGGAAGAGAGGTCAGACGGAAGCCACTCCTCAGTAAAAGGCACATGACAGCCTGCTTGGAGTTTGCCAAAAGGCACCTAAAGGACTCTCAGACCATGAGAAACAAGATTCTCTGGTCTGATGAAACTAAGATTGAACTCTTTGGCCTGAATGCCAAGCATCATGTCTGGAGGAAATCTGTCACTATCCCAACGGTGAAGCATGGTGGTGGCAGCATCATACTGTGGGGATGTTTTTCAGTGACAGGGACTGGGAGTCTAGTCAGGATCGAGGGAAAGATGAGCAGAGCAAAGATGAAAACCTGCTCAAGAGCGGACAACGACCCTAAGTACACAGCCAAGACAACGCAGGAGTGGCGTCGGGACAAGTCCCTGAATGTCTTTAAGTGGCCCAGCCAGAGCCCGGACTTGAACCTGATTGAACATCTCTGGAGAGACCTGAAAATAGCTGTGCAGCGACGCTCCCCATCCAACCTGACAGAGCTTGATAGGATCTGCAGAGAAGAATGGGAGAAACTCCCCAAATACAGGTGTGCCAAGCTCGTAGCGTCATACCCAAGAAGACTCGAGGCTGTAATTGCTGCCAAAGGTGCTTCAACAAAGTACTGAGTAAAGGGTCTGAATAGTTATTTAAATGTAATATTTCAGATTTGCTATTTTTAATAAATTTGCTAAAATTCCTAAAAAACAGTTTTGCTTTGTCATTATGTGGTATTGTGTGTAGACTGATGAGATTTTTTTAAAATCCATTTTAGAATAAGGCTGTAATGTAACAAAATGTGGAAAAAGTCAAGGAGTCTGAATACTTTGCTAATGCACTGCATGCGTCCTCTTCTGTAGCCTACAGGCTGGTTTCTCCGATCAAATAGCCTAACCTAAATGGGGCTCAATCAAATAAATGTGCGCTGTCATGTTAACAAACATATCCTAAAAACAGGACAGGTCAAAGTAAAATGGACAATATGGAATGGACAATCACAACTGTTGTCCAGGAGTTTCACCCCATTGTCATGATCAGTGGTTTCAAGTTTGTTTCCGTCAATTTTTTGACAAGCTGATCATAGCAATCATTTCGTGCTGTGTAAACACATTGCAAATAGGCTCGTGATAACTCCTGTTAATGTTGGGTAGCTGATACAGAGTTTAAATAACGAAATTGATTAGTCACAGGAATCAGGACTAATAAAGCCAATGCAATGGCATGTTTAACAAATGGTAGGCCTACCACATGAATGGGCATTCATAAAATTCCATTGTGGGCCGACATGGTAGGCTACACCACAGTAAGCACGAGCAAACGTTTTTTTAATAAATGTTTTGGTCCTGTGCCGATGTCGTTTTTTGGTCTTTTACAAACGGTAGGCTAACCACATACAGTGGGGGAAAAAAAGTATTTAGTCAGCCACCAATTGTGCAAGTTCTCCCACTTAAAAATATGAGAGAGGCCTGTAATTTTCATCATAGGTACATGTCAACTATGACAGACAAATTGAGGAAAAAAAATCCAGAAAATCACATTGTAGGATTTCTTATGAATTTATTTGCAAATTATGGTGGAAAATAAGTATTTGGTCACCTACAAACAAGCAAGATTTCTGGCTCTCACAGACCTGTAACTTCTTCTTTAAGAGGCTCCTCTGTCCTCCACTCGTTACCTGTATTAATGGCACCTGTTTGAATTTGTTATCAGTATAAAAGACACCTGTCCACAACTTCAAACAGTCACACTCCAAACTCCACTATGGCCAAGACCAAAGAGCTGTCAAAGGACACCAGAAACAAAATTGTAGACCTGCACCAGGCTGGGAAGACTGAATCTGCAATAGGTAAGCAGCTTGGTTTGAAGAAATCAACTGTGGGAGCAATTATTAGGAAATGGAAGACATACAAGACCACTGATAATCTCCCTCGATCTGGGGCTCCACACAAGATCTCACCCCGTGGGGTCAAAATGATCACAAGAACGGTGAGCAAAAATCTCAGAACCACACGGGGGGACCTAGTGAATGACCTGCAGAGAGCTGGGACCAAAGTAACAAAGCCTACCATCAGTAACACACTACGCCGCCAGGGACTCAAATCCTGCAGTGCCAGACGTGTCCCCCTGCTTAAGCCAGTACATGTCCAGGCCCGTCTGAAGTTTGCTAGAGTGCATTTGGATGATCCAGAAGAGGACTGGGAGAATGTCATATGGTCAGATGAAACCAAAATATAACTTTTTGGTAAAAACTCAACTCGTCGTGTTTGGAGGACAAAGAATGCTGAGTTGCATCCAAAGAACACCATACCTACTGTGAAGCATGAGGGTGGAAACATCATGCTTTGGGGCTGTTTTTCTGCAAAGGGACCAGGACGACTGATCCGTGTAAAGGAAAGAATGAATGGGGCCATGTATCGTGAGATTTTGAGTGAAAACCTCCTTCCATCAGCAAGGGCATTGAAGATGAAACGTGGCTGGGTCTTTCAGCATGACAATGATCCCAAACACACCGCCCGGGCATTGAAGGAGTGGCTTCGTAAGAAGCATTTCAAGGTCCTGGAGTGGCCTAGCCAGTCTCCAGATCTCAACCCCATAGAAAATCTTTGGAGGGAGTTGAAAGTCCGTGTTGCCCAACGACAGCCCCAAAACATCACTGCTCTAGAGGAGATCTGCATGGAGGAATGGGCCAAAATACCAGCAACAGTGTGTGAAAACCTTGTGAAGACTTACAGAAAACGTTTGACCTGTGTCATTGCCAACAAAGGGTATATAACAAAGTATTGAGAAACTTTTGTTATTGACCAAATACTTATTTTCCACCATAATTTGCAAATAAATTCATTAAAAATCCTACAATGTGATTTTCTGGAATTTTTTTTCTTCTCATTTTGTCTGTCATAGTTGACGTGTACCTATGATGAAAATGACAGGCCTCTCTCATCTTTTTAAGTGGGAGAACTTGCACAATTGGTGGCTGACTAAATACTTTTTTCCCCCACTGTAGATGGGCATTTATAAAATAACAGCAAGGACCGGCCCTGGATGTAGCCTAAGCCTCGGTCTCATTTCTGAACAGCAGAATTAAAAACCCAGCTCCTATTTAAACGAACATTCCAAAAATAAATACATTTTGTAGGCTAATTTCGGACGCTGATAGGCTAAAACTTTGTCTGTTGAACTAAGGATATTGCAGTTACACATTGAATTGGAGCAAAACAATCTGCGTTTTAACTATACGTGTACACTTGTGATGACGTCATCTTTATAGTTATGCTGCCATGCTATCGTTGCCTGAGTAGCTGAAAAAGAACACTGACTTCTTGTCTGCACCCTGCTTTGACAATGCCAATGTTCGCAATGATGGTGAAAAAATAACATTAAATCGCTATTTAGACTGCCTGTGTCTTGTTTGTGTTTGATATAATGGCTAACTAGCTAGATAGCCTGCATATAACTCCCCACCCGAGTGTTCCATTCGGGCAAAACAATGTGATGACTCCATAATAGTCGACGTTACAGCTTGGCTAATAGAAAACGCCGTAATATATTTTTCATTTAAAACCTTATCTTGGCGATTCTTCCTCGTTCTCGATTCGTGTATCTTAAAAATGTTCAGTTGCAGGTGGTTCTACAAAAACCAGAGGAAATTCAGGAAGATATTCAATCCGTGTTTTGTACCACGCGATGTAAACGTAGGGTAACGTGGGATAACTAGCTCCCGGTTTTATTGTCATAGAAACCACTTTATGTCTCCAAAAAAAATCCAACCCTTCCCTGGCTGGCACTACACTAACAAAACGATTCTGAGGTAAATTTATCTAATATTTCGTAATTTATAAAAAGTTAGATAGCTGTACACTTGTTATAAACAGTATATACCATTAGGGGAGCCTAAAGATAAATAATCCACTTGAGTTACAGAAATTGTTTTTGCTACTTTAGGATGATATGGACATGATTTGGCGAGAAAATGAAAAGGGACCTTACATCCAAACCTTATCATATAAGTAGTGAGATGTGCACAGTGGCGGCTCCTGAAGAAATTCTCAGGGGGGGCAATTTTTCTGATGATTTAGGTGACCTACACACATTTAAAAAAAGATATGTCCAGCAACAACATGAAGACAGGGGCAGCATATAAGTCAATAACAGAAGCATTTATTGACTGATCTCAAAAGTGTTGGCTTACAAAAGCAAAATAAGTTATCACAGTAAAAATAATCAAGGGTGTTCTTTCACATTCCTCAACACTGCATAAACAATATGCATTTCCATAAAACACCTCATCTAATTGTGCCACAAAGTTGACAAGTCCCAAAAAAATACCAGGGTTGGTGGAGCCCTCAGTTTCATCTTTGCCTCGCAAAGCTAACTCAAACACTCCGCAAAACTTCACACACTGGATTAGCCGGCAGAGGATGTGGCGGTTCTTGCTAACCTCTCGTTG